TACTGTGCTGCCTGTGGGCTAGATCGGGCAGGAACCTTTGGGGTGTGCTGTTTGCTCTCATAGTCACTCATACAGCCATTCAGCTGGAAAGTCTGTTGTGAATCTGAAATGTCAGTATCTAGAGAATGTTTTTCGTATCTATAATTAATAACATCAGCTTTAGTTTTCCTTCATGACATTACACAAGCTATCTCCATTGGATAAGCATCAGTTTCTGCTTTCCTGTATACAAATACTTAACTAAATTGAGATTTTTCTAAATTGCTTTTTCCTAAGTTGCTGATTTTTATAACTTTCAGCCTAACTCACATTTTCACTTTCTACCTATATATGTCAATCCCCTATGACTGTTGAATGCCGTCTGCTCTATCTGCTGTTTCATTAATGTTTCCTCTGCCTTCGGCTTATGAATAAAGATGAAAGACTGCACTGACCCCTTTGCTGCCATTCTTGACATTTTAAACCAATTAGACAAAAATACAGCTTGTTATTATGACTCTTTGCCTAATACAGAAGCTGATCTTGTATTCTTACAACTGTGGTTTTTATCCAAGCCTATTTTGTAATGAAAATTTTATCTGACTTCATCAGATAAGTTTGAGAAGTTCAAACATATAACATCTGTGACTTTCTCTTCATCCCTCTATTCTATAAATCCATGAATAAAATCTAGTATGTCTACCCAGCATGAGATTTTTTTTTTTTTTTAGAAAAATAAAACCACAAAGCTGGTAGGCTTTGATTTACACATCTTTGTGATGCTTTCTGTGGATTATCTGTTAATATTATACTTCTTTGTTTGAAAGTGAGGTAAAATATATGCTAGAACTAATCAGATACCAAGCTTTACAAAAGAAAAAGGAAAGCTGTTTTTTCTTGATTGACCTCTGCTTTCTGCTAATTTCATTTACATAAGACTTCTCTTATTTTAAAATTATCAAGTCTAGGAAGAGGAGAGAATCCAAATAAAGCTAGTCCTTGTGTTCATTTTTCCCAATTATGAAGTTCTTCCTAGACTTGTTAATATGAAAATGAGAAAAGTCTTATGCAAATGAAATAAACAGAGAGCAGAGGTGGAGCAACAAATGGTTTAAGTAGCTCCCCTTCAAGGAAGGTCTGGAAAGGAGTTTAAAAAGAGTTTGTGCCATGGACAAAAGGCAGATCTTCGTGGAATGAACTTGGGTAAAAATTAAAGGAGTTGTGTGGGGCCTGTAAGATCAGGGATGACAAGGGCACTCCAGAGTCTTTGTCTCTCTTATTGTGGTTGTCGGTTGTGCAGGTAAACTAACAGAGTCCTCAGTACCCGCCATCACCGTGTGAGAGAGGCTCCAGAACAGAACAGCCTGGTTTTAGTTACTTGCCATTAAAGTGATTTTTCTTATTTTCCTGTCTATCCCATGCCACCTCAAATATACCAGAGTGTAAATTAGGCTCTCCTAAGAAGAATCAATTTCTATCACTTCTAATGTTTACATTCGGGTTTTACAATTCAGGGTCAGTTGATAAAACTTTAATTTGGCCAAAGAAAACCTTAAATGGCTTAGTATCCCTCTGGTTTAGACTCACAAATCTTTCGTGTTTGTGCTGAGCCCAAACCAAGGAGATACTAAGTTGAGTAAGATTTTTCTTTAGCCAAATTAGGTTATATCATCACAAGCTTGAGAAATATGAGCCAGAATGGTGACTTTTAATGAGCACTGAGTCTTGTGGACTGAAAACAGGAAAAGGCAGGGAAAGTATGGGCTCGGCCGCGGCCTTACTGTACCAGTAGTGATAGGGTTTTTTATCAAGAGCTTTATTTGCTGGGTTTTTGTTTTTGCTGCTAACAAAGTTATTGATATAGAGCTCTGAAATGTGTTTTCTTTTCTTTTTTCTTTTTTCTTTTTTTAGTCAAGCCAGGCGTGTTTATAAAAGTTCAGTTTCCTTTAACAATACTTCTTTTATTTGACTTCTCCTATCCATTTCAGTTTTGATATAAGGTTCACTTAAACTAAAAAAGCAGTAATTAAAATGGTCTGGTACATCTACCTTAGCTCCTTTATTTCTCTTTTATCTATCCACTTGCTACCAGCATGTAAATTTAAAGAGTTTCTTTTATATTTGCTGTATGCCTGAAGTGTTGAGCAAGGTCTTTTCTTTCTGCATGTCGGAACTCCCAACATATTCCAGTGCTGTAACCTCTGGGATCTCCATTAAGCCTCACAGCCCCTGGAAATTCCTCCATCAGAACTCATGAGTCCTTTGTACATGTATAGCTCAGTATTTAGACAAAGATCAAAAGAATCCCAGTACAGGTTTCTTGAACTCCCTCTTTTCAGCTTTCTTCTCTCTAGTACCTTGTCCTACAAAGTGCACTCGCTTTAGTATCCTGAACTCGTCTTTTTTTTTTCCTTTCCTCCAACCAATGAGGTAGCTACACCTCATTTGGGTTTCACTTCCCTATGTTGCAATTTGGAAAATACCACCCAGCAGAAAACTGGCAGTGTATTATTTTATTCTTTCATGGATCACAACCTTGCACTATTACCCAATGTCTGAAAACAAATAAAATAGATGAAGCAAGTTATTTTATAGTAGTTTACAGGGGGAGGGTAAGTGTGATATCCATTATTCCATTGTGGCTGAAGCCAGTTCATTGAATTGATTTTTATCATGGTAACTTCTTAATTTTTTTTCTTCAAGTGGATTAGTATTTCTAGATGTTTGATGATACATTTCCAGAAATGCCACAAGGAATTTATTAAGCTTCTAGATAATTAGCTCATTTTTATGCTATTCTATAAGTATTCACAGAATCATCAGTAAACTTTTTATTTTTATTTTTTTTAAAGATTTTACTTATTTGACCGAGAGAGAAAGACAGCACAAGCAGGGGAAGCAGCAGGCAGAGGGAGAGGGAGAAGCAGGCTCCCCACTGAAGAGAAAGCCCGATGCGGGGCTTGATCCCAGGACCCTGGGATCATGACCTGAGCCAAAGGCAGCCACTTAACCGACTGAGCCACCCAGGAACCCCAGCAATAAACTTTTTAAAGTTCCTATTTTGAGCTCCATGTTGTAAGAGAAGCTGGAGAGTAGTATGCCATTCTAAGAACAGCATAAAGACTTAATTTTAACTCCAAAGAGTTTTCATATCCCTTCAGAAGACCAGGCAGGCAAACAGTTAACAAAGAGATGATGGTAATAAACAGTGGAGATTGACATTGGCAGGATAACAATAATATCCAACGTTTAATGACCCATGCACAATTTGGGCTCTTTACATAAATTATCTGATTTAATCCTATAAACGATTCTGCGAGATAGTATTTCCATTTTCATCTTAAAAATGAGAAAACTGAAAAAGTTAAATAAAAGTTAAATAAAATATTGAGTACCACTGAGGCCAGAGTTCAAATCCAAGTCTACTCAGTGTTTCAGAGCCGGAGCTCGTAACTCTTATACAGTAGTCTGGAAATGGAAATCTTGATAGAAGTGGTCTTAAGTTACAGATTAAGATTTGTTAACAGGCAGAAAGCAAAGAGAAATAAAATGACCTCAAGGAATGATGGTGTGTAGAACCACATTTGATTGGAGCAAATGTTACCAAAGCGTATTTAAAATTACTTGAGTTGGGGGCGCCCGGGTGGCTCAGTCAGTTAAGCTTCTGCCTTCAGCTCAGGTTGTGATCCCGGGGTCCTGGGATTGAGTTCCTTGTCGGGCTCCCTGCTCCATGGGGAGGCTCCTTCTCCCTCTGCCTCTCTCTCTCTCTGTCTCTCATGAATAAATAAAATCTTTTAAAAAAATTATTTGAGGGGCGCCTGGGTGGCTCAGTTGGTTAAGCGACTGCCTTCGGCTCAGGTCATGATCCTGGAGTCCCGGGATCGAGTCCCGCATCGGGCTCCCTGCTCGGCAGGGAGTCTGCTTCTCCCTCTGACCCTCCCCCCTCTCATGTGCTCTCATTCTCTCTGTCTCAAATAAATAAATAAAATCTTTAAAAAAAAAAAATTATTTGAGATGAAGAATAACTAGATAATAGTGTAGGAGGAAAACAATGTTTAAGAAAGTTTGCCTTGGAGCAAAAAGAAGGATGGATATGATGAAAAAAGGACTGAGATCCTGGAGACCCTCTAGGAGACTTGACTGATTAAAAACTGGACTCAAGGTGATGGCATTGGGAATGGTGGAGAAAAGTAATATAAAAGGTAGTTCAAGTGAAATATTTGTCAGAACTTGATTGCAGACTAAACTGAGGAGTATCAAAAGGAGCAAATCAAAAAGCCCACCACATTTTTGTTTGGAAAAGAGGGAGAGAATGGGAGTTGACTAATAAAAACAGGAGTAGGGAAGGATGATGAGACCCAGTTGACTCTGAGTTTCCTGCATAGCTATCCAAATGGAGTGTTCTGTCAGCATTTAACAGTATAGACTTGGGGCACCTGGGTGGTTCAGTCGTTAAGCATCTGCCTTTGGCTCAGGTCATGATCCCAGGGTCCTGGGATCGAGCCCCGCATAGGGCTCCCTGCTCCACGGGAAGCCTGCTTCTCCCTCTCCTACTCCCCCTGCTTGTGTTCCCTCTCTTGCTGTGTCTCTCTCTGTCAAATAAATAAAATATTTTTTTAAAAAACAGTATAGACTTGTAGTTTTGATACAAGGACAGAAATGGAGAAATTTGAAATAATGTCAGGATTCATATATTCCCTTTGTGCTTCTTCCCAGATTCCTCCCATTCAGACTATAACATATTTCATTAGCTAACTGTGGATTTATTAAAGATAATATCAGGGGTGATTGGGTGGCTCAGTCGGTTAAGCGTCTGCCTTCGGCTCAGGTCATGATCCCAGGGTCCTGGGTTCAAGCCCCCTGTCGGGCTTCCTGCTCAGCATAGAGCCTGCTTCTCTCTCTCCCTCTGCCTTCCATTCCCCCTGCTTGTGCGCTTTCTCTCCTCTTCTTTGTCTCTGTCAAATAAATAAATAAAATCTTTAAAAAAAAAATAATCTCAAATATCTGTTTCTACTTTACAGAAAGAAATTCTGGAACAACAGCAGCAAGAAAGAAATGATAACAATTTTCATGGTATTTGTATGTTTTGCAGTGAGGAATTTTTCGGGAACAGGTTTGCCTTTATGCATGTCTTTGAATATTACTGTTTTTCATCTGCAAACATATCAAAACATTCATAATGGTTATATAAATTAAGTTCTGTGGATTAGCTCAGGACCCTTTCATATATCAGCAATAATTTTTTTAATATGCCTAACATCAAAGATGGACTATAGTTGCTCTAAGCAGAATAGGGGAATAATTTTTTCATTTTTTTTCTTTTATTTTTTTCCAAGTTTTTATTTAACTTCCAGTTGTTAACTTACAGTGTAATATTAGTTTCAGGTGTAGAACTTAGTGATTCATCACTTACATACAACACTAACTCCAATACCCGGGGCTCATCACTACAAGTGCCCTCTTTAATCCCTGTCACCTATTTAACCCATCCCCCCACCTCCTCTCCAGTAACCATCAATGTGTTCTATGTAGTTCAGAGTTGGTTTCTTGGTTTGCCTCTCTTTTTTCTTAAATGCCAAAAATAAATTTGTGTTTAATGTCCTAGGACTTTTTCAGTTGGCTGACAGGCAAGACCATGTACAACAAACTACTACAGACACACCCTTCTATATTGTTAACTCTAAACCTTTAGCAGTTTTTGATGTTTCATTTTTGAATATAAAAACTAATAAAGATTAGGGATGCCTGGGTGGCTCAGTCCGCTAAGCGTCTGCCTTCCGTTCGTTCAGGTCATGATCTCAAGGACCTGGGATCAAGTCCCACATCGGGCTCCTGCTTAGCTGGGAGCCTGCTTCTACCTCTGCCTACCTCTCTCTCTCTCTCTCTCTCTCTGACAAATAAAAATAAAAATCTTTTAAAAATAAATAAAATCAACAAAGATTAAAAAAAAAAAAAACCCAAAACAAAAACTGGGGTATTGATAATTCTTTACCACTCCCATCTGGGTCGAAAACCAACTGGCATACTGTAATTCGGTTCTAAAACTAATCGCCCAGAGTTAACATCAGGCTCTGCAGGTTAAAGGGCATCATCCCCAACAAGACTGCTTGCATTTTAGATACCAGCCACAAGTTCAGTTGACCAACTGACTAAAAATTCAAGGATTCTCACCAGTAATTTGCATCCTTCAGTAGTTTACAGAATGACTCACAAAACTCCAGAAAGTAGTATGCTTAGGACTGCAGTTTTGTTATAAAGGAACAGCCAAGTGAAGAGATCAGGAACAACCAAATGAAGAGATATATAGGGCAAGTTTTAGGAGGTTCCTGAACTCAGAGCTTCTGTGCCCTTTCCCCCAAAGAATCAGGACATATCACCCACCCAGCACATCAAGGTATTCACCAACCTGGAATCTTCACTGAGCTTTGATTTCCAGAATTTTTAATAAGGCTTCATCACATTAGCATGATTGATTCAACCATTGAACTTAATCTCCAGATCCCTCCCCTCTCTGAAGGTCAGGCTGGCTCAAAATCTCTACCTTCTAATCCTGTGGTTAGTCTTTTCCTTGACCAACCCCCATACTGAAACTAGCTAAGGGCTAGTCGCCTTGTCAGCGTAACAAAGATAATCCTATCATGGAGAAATTCCAAGGATTTTAGAAGCTCTCTGCCAGGAATCAAGGACAAAGACCAGACAGATTTCTCATTATACAGCATTTGATATTTACAAATGAACATGACTTAAATACAAGTCATGAAGTTGTAACCTCTAGTAACTGGGAATAGTTCAGTGGCAACATAAGAGTGGACAGTCAGAGGGGTGCCTGGGTGGCTCAGTCATTGGGCGTCTGCCTTCGGCTCAGGTCATGGTCCCAGGGTCCTGGGATCGAGCCCCAGCCCTGCATCGGGCACCCTGCTCCGCATCGGGCTCCCTGCTCCGCGGGAAGCCTGCTTCTCCCTCTCCCACTCCCCCTGCTTGTGTTCCCTCTCCTGCTGTGTCTCTCTCTGTCAAATAAATAAATAAAATCTTTAAAAAAAAAAAATGGACAGTCAGAAAAATACCTTTTTCTACCCACTTCAAAGAAGGCGGTCTACAGTATTAAAAAACAAAAAAGCCTGGCACAGTAACTGACATTATTACCTGAAAAACATTGAGGAGAGGGTAGCTACAGATACAGTACTAATTTGAATTTAGAAAATGGTTTGGTTGCAGCACTGATGTTCAAAACACCACTAATGAAGATTTGATTCTTCTGTAGGGCAGTTGGCATAGAGAAAAATCTGTGCCAAAAGGCACTGTGAAATACTCTATGAAATACTAGTTTTATTCAAAGTTATCAGTAATAGTTAAGTGGTTAGCCAAAAGAGTGTATTAACTATGAGATTAATGAATGGGACTCCTACATACTTAAAAAAATCAACAAACATTTTCATAGGGTTGGTTGCTTTATTTTCTAAAGGAAAAAAATAATAACCCTAAAAAACAGTGATTTGGAGCCAGCTTAGTGTCCTAAATAAGCTAGATAAATTGTATAATGTGTCACTGTGTATAGTGGTTTGTGTACTAATGAGTTCCCCAAAACTGTCACCTTCATTTTATGAACTAAAGTTGTGATAAAGAGGGCGCCTGGCTGGCTCAGTCTGAGGATCATGCGACTCTTGATCTCAGGGTCCTGAGTTCAAGCCCCATGTTAGGTGTAGAGATTACTTAAATAAATAAATAAACTTAAAAAAAATTAAAATAAAGTTGTGATAAAGACCCAGTAGAATAATATATTTTACACATAGGCATTTTTGCTATGTAAAACTTAGATAAATTAAAATTTTCCTTTTTAGCATAAACTAATCAACAGACTGTTGATTCAGTTTATGGTATTCAGTTTATGGTAACCCTTACGTATACTTAGATTTGTTAATTGTGGGTTCCAGGTCGGTGTCTGATCGTGAGCTGACTAAATGTCTGTGATCCCAGGACATATATAGAAGGACATATTTCCCTTTGGGAGTTGTCTCTTCCTTCTCCCCACAATGAATTGGAAAAGTAAGCAAAGCACAGTTTAATAGTTTAAAGGACAGAAACCCAATTCATCTATAGAGTATATTCCTGTGCACTGGCAGATAATGGAACAAACTTAACTCACTTTAAAGAACTATTGTGATTATATGTGTACTTAAATACTATATAACATACCACTCTTTCATAGCCCAAATGTGTGTTTTAGTGTTTAACCTTTGCATGTACTTCTGATTAGTGTAATCATTATAAAAGTGCCATCCCTGACTTGATTTGTTACTAGATGATTTGTATTCAAATTTCTTCATAGATCTATTCTTTTGAACCACATGGCCAGAGAACATGCTTTCAACATTGGATTGCCAGACAACATTGTAAACTGCAATGAATTTCTATGCACATTACAGAAAAAACTGGACAAGTAAGTATTTTTTTCATGAAACACAACCTGAAGCTATTTTAATTTTGGACTCTTGGGAATTTTTTTTATTGTCTGTTGTGAATTTTTTAAGATTAATCTAATAGAACTAATTAATAAAATGGAATTTTCTTCTTTTTGTCTAGATCATATTGCCTTTTACTGCTTTTTAAAAGAAGTATCATATTACCAAACAGTGTACATACCATGTAACATATGCTATATAGGGTATGAAGAGTATACTCTACATCTGGCCTAAGAAATAGAACAGGGATGCCTAGGTGGCTTAGTCAGTTAAGCGTCCAGCTCTTGATTTCAGCTGAGGTCATGATCTCAGGGTCAAGTCTACTTGAGATTCTCTATCTCTTTAAAATAAATAAATCTTTTTTTAAATAAAGAAATAGAACATTATTAATTCCCTTGATTTTCATGTGTGCCCTTCCTCATTCATATCTCCCCATTTCTTAATTTTGTCATGGTAATTCGTTTTTCAGTATAATTTTTCACATATTTGGTAAATATATTGTCAAAATGTTATATGTTATTCAGCTTTATGTGAGACATAACATACTCTGTGCATTCTTTTACCTTTTAGTATTTATTCACACTTATATATCATGACACTCCACTGTTCCTAAGACCATATTCTGGTGACTGTATCTAGTGGGTATCTAGAGCTTAGCTTGTAAAATAAGGAAGGAAATTCTCTAGGTCACTAAAATGGCTTTCAAAAATCTATCCACATTTTTCTCGAGGAGAGGGCCCAGTATTTTTTCTCTCAAAACCTAGGTTTTTTTGGGTTTTTTGTTTTTAAAGATTTTACTTATTTATTTTTAGAGAGAGAAAGAGAGCTTGAGTGGGGGGAGGAGCAGAAGGAGAGGGAGAGAGAGAATATCAAGCAGACTCCGCAGTAAGTGCGGAGCCCAACAACATAGGGCTCGATCCCGCAACCCCAAGATCATGACCTGAGCCAAAATCAAGATTCAGACACCCAACCAACTAAGCCACCCAGGTGCCCCTGTATTTTTTTTTTTTTTCCCAAATGAAATCTCAGCCCACAATATTCAGAGCAATAACATTAAGAAAGAAATATTAAAAGTTCTGAGTTCAAATTCTGGTATCAACACTACATTAATGTCCTTTTACTCTTACTAAATGATCCTTCATTTATAAAATAATAACAGATGTGCTTTCTAGCAAGATTAGCATAATTTTTTTTTTAAGATTATTTATTTACTTATTTGACAGAGAGAGAGATAGCAAGAGAGGGAACACAAGCAGGGGGAGTGGGAGAGGGAGAAGCAGGCTTCCCGTGGAGCAGGGAGCCCAATGCGGGGCTTGATCCCAGGGCCCTGAGATCATGACCTGAGCCGAAGGCAGACGCTTAACGACTGAGCCACCCAGGCGCCCCAAGATTAGCATAATTTTTTAATGCCATAATTATTTGCTATAAAAGAATATAGTTATTTCTGTGGCACAAGAAATGGTTCAAAGGATGCTTAGTAGTGATGACAAAAGAATTCAAAATTGAAACAACTGATTTCACCCATTTGAGAGTTTTCATGTAAAAGGGAACTTAGATATAATCTGTGTGACTCCAAAAAGTGGAACTCTAATGACTGGTAGGGAGAAGTAACAGGCAGTATCCACTGTCAGACTTAGGTTAAGAAAGATGTTTTGTTAGCAATCTGTTCATTTTCATTAGAAAATGAATGTCAGTAGAGAAGGCAAGTAACTTGACCAAGTTTCACAGCTAGTATGTACTGAAACTAGGCATTAAACCCTGCAAATCAGCTCACAAAATATGCCAAGCCATGGACTAATTTGTTGTACTCAGTGGAGGCAGCCAATGCTAGTTATCATTGTAATTATTTGAAGAACATAACTACGTTTTCATTTTTAGAAGAGATAATTTGATTAGAAAACACCACAATAATTTTTGGGTATTAACTATCTTTGTCACAGTTTGACTACATAGCCCAGTTGGCCAATGTAGCCAACTACAAAATAAACCAAGCATGCGTCCCACAAAGCTGAATGAATGAAGTAAGAGAGGTTCTGACAGGGATGTCGTATCCTACTTGAAGATTCTGTAACCTAAAATGAATAATCGTAAGACTTAAAAATAAAGGACTTTTGCAGCAGCTTTCCAGGAGACTTGTGTAATCTGTCAGTGTTTGTGTATTTTTTTAGCCTGCAGTGCTTGTATTGTGAGAAGACCTTCAGGGACAAAAATACACTGAAAGACCATATGAGGAAAAAACAGCATCGGAGGATTAATCCTAAGAACAGAGAATATGACCGATTTTATGTCATCAATTATTTGGTAAGGCTTTCTCTTCATAATTTAAAATTTGATTGCATTTCCACAAACAAAAATCTTTCTAAGGGCTGTCTAATATTTAAACAAGCAATCAGTATAAAAGTCAAAATGTAATCGAGGGACACTTCCAAGCAGTGATTAGCTTCGTAATGGCTAGTTTACAAAGCATAACTTGATTTGGTTTGTCTTCGATTTGCCAGATGTTTACACAGTAAAAATGTCATGTCTCTAGAATTCACAGTGATCTGGACCGGAAAAAAAAAGAAGTAATAATAAACATAAAACATTTGAGTATCTACATACTCTTGCTCATTTGTTATATTATCTATTACCTTGAGTCCAGAGACTTCTATATTCTATTCAAAAACCATCTTTTGACATCTGGATGTACTAGGTGTCTTATGCTAGATAACTTTTTAAAAACAATCTCTTCATGGGGCACCTCGGTGGCTCAGTGGGTTGGGCGTTCAACTCTTGATTTCCACTCGGGTCATGATCTCAGGGTTGTGAATTTGAGCCCCTAGTCGGGCTCATGCACTGGGCATGGAGCCTCATTAAGATTCTCTCTCTCCCTCTGTCTTCCCACACACCCCCCTCAAAAAAAAAAAAAAAAAAAACTCTTCTCTCTTCCCTCTCTCCCCATTAAAAAAACCCTCCTTTTCCCACAAAAAAAATTTACCATCCTCCTTGGCCAGCTTATCTTTGTTGGAAATTTTAGAGAAACCAATCATTTCACTACACAAGAGGACTTTGATTTGTATGGCTAATAGAATGTAATAATGGTGTTATCACGTCAAGGATTTTAAATACATTGAAAGTTTTCCTTGCCTAGAAACCTCAGTATCATTTCCTGAGCTTTTTGGTTAAGAGAAGGTATTCAGTTGGAGGCAAGTGTCACTAGGGGGGCATTTAGAAATGGAAGAGGGGATTTCAACTGACACAATGACTGGGAGTTCTACTGGCCCTGCCCTACTCTGCTGAATTTAGGGGTGTACATAACAAAGGAAATAATCCACTCGTGTAAAGAAAAGGGTTACATAACTCTCCACTTGAATTAGGAGAAAGGGAGTTGTTTCAGACACTTTTCTTAAGCAAATGGAAATTACTTTTTTCCTCTCAATAGGAATGAATTAGAATCCAAACTCATGGCCACAGAGGGCATAATTGATTATAATCAACCATTTTATCAATTGGACAGAAACAAACATATCCTGAAATATGTTGGAAATCTCTTGGTGGGGTGGAATTTTTGTCTGTTCTAACTAATCCTTGTAGAGTTAAAATAAAATTCCCCTTGAGAAGCAAGTTTGACATGTGTTTGAAGATTGACTCTGAGAAGTTGCCATGATCTGCTACAAATGTTTTACAACTAGCTAAAGGCAAAGGCACCCTTTGAGTCCTTCAATCTTCTCTTGAAATCACTGTCATTAATTCCTAGAACAAATGCTGCTTCAGGACCCAGCCCAATCCAATGGGGAGTGGACTTCAGTGTTAGCTCTAAGAAATATCAGCTATTGCAGAAAGCTGTGGAAGCAATTTAATAGTACTTCCTTCTGGGGATCTTTTAAAATAATATTCGAGAGCTTGGGACTAGCGGAACATTATATATATAGCTGGAGGTATTTACCTTTTAGAGGAGACTTCAAAGGGACTGTTCACTCAAATTCTGCTGGCACTTTTAGAAAAGTATGATGCTTTATTCTCTGGGCATCAAGTAGTATGTCTTTCAAAACTGAAATTGTCTGCAAGGACCAGCTGTCTCTAGATGGGCATGCTAGATTATACTGCCCACTGAGTGCCCAGATATGATGTGGCATGAATCATAGCTTAGGAGCAGTGTTTCAAGAAAACATGAAGACTGTGATAGTATATAAAATGAAAATTAAATCATTTTAGGAGAATATTGATAGAAGTAATTTTTTCTTTTAACTAGCAGCATTTGACTACTTGCTATATGCCAAGCACTGTCTTGTATAGTATTAAGTCATTTACTCTTAACCATATCCATATGTCACAGATTTTATTATCCCCATTTTATAGATTTGGAGAGTAGGCACAGATCTTTTCCCAGAGTCACATAGTTAGAACAGGATACTTAACCTCTCTGTGTATCAGTTTCCTTCGCTTTTTCCTCAGTTGAAATAAGGTACCTACCTCTTACTTTTTTGGTTGGGTTTTTGGTCAAGTAATGATGATGAATTCGTAATGATCTATTCACCACCTTCTTGCCTGTTCTCTTTTGTACTAAACTAGAAAGTGAGTCAAGGTCAAAGTAAAGCTGACTTTTTAATAAGCTCGTTAAGGGCTCTGACCCACAACCTTAGCCTTCTTAGCCCTGTATGCTTTCCCACTGAGGTAAATAGCTCACAACAAGAAGAATGATTTTAAAAACAAAACCTAAAATATGTTACGATTAGCCTTAGCATTTTGGAAATTATACAAAATTACCTTAGAAAAGAATTGAATTAGCTAATAAGGTCTCTAAAGATGTAGAAATGTCCTAACGTAGAGAAGTGCTTACCAGAAGTATCAACCTTAATACCATCCTGAGTAGTGTTGTAGATAAAAGGTATAATATATAGAAGGGGTATATAAAAGACTGTTCCAAATACTAATACTGTGTAGTTAGAGAAAAATGAGGGTCAGAGATTGCTCAGCATCATTTTAGTTTCCTTTCAGACACCATGAATGAAAATACTTAATATTTCACAGAAATATTTAACATGAAGAATAAATTCTTCTAAAAGTTTACTTAAGCAATGAATAATGACTTTGCTTTAGTTTTAAAAAGGAGAAAAAAATGCTGACAGACACTCACTGTGTATTCCTCTGAGGAACAAGGCTGACATGAGTGATGAATGTGGGGCCAAAGAGAGAACTGTTGTATTAGTCGTCAGGGTCTGCACATCCATTTCTCACATCCTCTTCCCTGCAAGAAGCACTTCCATTGGCTTTTCATACATTCTACATACATTGGAGTGCCTTCCAGTACCAGACACTGGTGGAGCAGGAAGAAAAATATTACAGACAAGGTGGCTGATTTAAGTCACTACTCAGAGAGTTTAGAGGTCGTATGAGAGACAGACATGTAAGCACATAATTTCAGCACTTGGGGGTGGGGTGTACAAAGTTAATGCGTGGGCCTTTCCTGTAGCAGCTATGTGCCCACGGGGTTCCTCAACTCCATCGGAGCAGAATCTCCAGGCAGCAAGTGATGGCAGCACCCAGGGTATCCCTGGCAAGATGCACTCTATAATCATCATCAAGGGTGGGAGCGCTAAGACACGGAGGGTGTTTTTGACTCTCTTCTGAGCTCAGCAAATTGATAGATTCCTTTTTCTTCCTTAGGTGAGATAATTTCCGTACTTAATAATTCATATCAGTTTTTGAATAATAACAGACTTGCAAATACATAAAAAGTCACTATGCATAGTCTAGATTACCTACTACACGTTCTCTGTTTTCTCACAAACAAAAGTGTTCGATGAAGAGTGGACCAGGATGGTCAAGGGGACAATTTCCCAGGCAGTTTCACGTTCAGATGCCCCTGCCATCATCACTGAGCCTTCAGCTACCTATTCCTAAGGCATTTATGTTTCAAGCCCTGAGTTTTCCTAAAGGAAATTATTTTTGCAGTGGTTTTATCATTTTTTATTTTTTTTATTCTTAAAGATATACAAAGCCATTTGTAACAAAAGTCTGCTCTTAACCTGTTTTTCACAGTTTTAGTATAGTTCTTTCTAATGAAATTATTTACATTTAGAACACTTTTTTTTTTTTAAGATTTTATTAATTTGAGAGAGTACAGGTGGGGGAGGGTGTGGCAAGGGGGAGGAGCAGAGGGAGAGAAAGAAGCAGGGTCCCTGCTGAGCAGGGAGCCAGACACAGGGCTCCATCCCAGGACCCTGGGATCATGACCTGAGCTGAAGGCAGACACTTAACTGACTGAACCACCCAAGTGCCCCCATTTAAAACACTTCTCAACTAGAATTTAAATTAAAACTTGAAAAAAATAAAACATTTCTCTTTCTCTGTTTATAATGGGTTTTTCGTGTAAGTACATATATAAGTGTCTGTGTTGGAGCGGTGGGGATGCTAGATGAAGGGGATTTATATTTTATGTTTTTCTTGTCCACCCTCTCATTGATCATAAACCATCTGATGTAGGGGGTTGAGGGGGTGTGCTGAACATCTTTACTGACGTGCCTTCCAAACTTTGTTTTTCTTGAAATCTTTGCTTTCCTAACGTGATTCATTACCAGGCACAGCATCTTAATTAGAGAGTTCTGTCTTTTTTTGGGGGGCGGGGGGGAGGTCTTATTCCTATAATAAATCATATATATTTGACTATGCAAGGCAGAGCATTCCAGGAAAGCCTGGGCCAGTGTCACATGCAAACCACTTGTTTCTTAATACACTAATGAACACCAAGTTCCATTTTCCTCTCAAGTGGTAAATGGTTAGTGCTGTTGCCTAGGAAAATCCCTACATGTTATACTGAATACTTGCCAAATAGTGTACTGAAAGTTGCAAAATAATGCTTTGGGTTTGGAAGTTTGACACTGAAAGCTATTCTATGTCTCTTTGGCCAAAACATTTATTGATAAGCAACATTTGTCCATATCATTGAAAATGGTAATACCACAGATGGCCCTTCTTTGAATAATGTCCTGCAACAATGACCTTAAAGTACAGGTCCAGAGAGATCAAGTAATCCATGAAAGATGTAATTCATCACCAAAAATTCCAACTAACAAGGATCCTGTTGGCAGTGTTGAAGCCATTCCTCGTGTCCATAATGAGGTTCAGACATTTCATGATAACTCTGGGAAGTACATTATAGAGTCCAAATTAACTGTCTCTAATGACATTATGGTAAATCTCTGTGTGTCTGAGTTTATGCATCATTTAGCTGATAGAGAATGACAGCTTCAAAACCTCTCATTAAGTTGATGAATGATAGATTTTCTTTTTTCCCTAAATCATAATGGACCTTGTAGTTCTTTGTTTTTGCTTAAGTGAATACCTTTTTTGAGAAAAGAAGTTCAAAATTGAGAATAAATTTTAGTTATTTTTTTCCAAAAGAGGAATATCAAACAAGAATGTCTATATTTATAGCAGGTCAGGTTGGACTTGACTGTAACCATAGTTTAGCTGCTTGGAAAGGTGTCCATTATTGTTCCTACATCCTTCTTTAGTGCACTGTCTGCTTTTGCATGGCACAGTGGTAAAATTGGATGGAGAAAGAAGAAAAGATAAGAAAGAGGAACAAATGACTCAAGAATAGAAAAGATAAATGGTTAGGCCAAAAGAAATCATTCCTGCTCATTACTCCATAAAGTTTTGCTGGAACTATGACTAAATTTGCCAGACATAGCCCTAAGTGGGTGCAACTTCCCGTGAACTGTAAGAGATAAAAGGGATTGAAGTAGATATTTGAGCACTTAACTGTTGCCTGCAACCGTGTACTTTATATACAGGGATACCTTGTTTTATTGCACTTTGCTTATTGTGCCTCGCACGTTTTTACAAACTGAAGGATTGTGGCAATGCTGTGTTGAGCAAGTCTGCGCCATTTTTTCAACAGCATTTGCTCACATCATGTCTCTGAGTCACATTTGGTAATTCTCGCAATAATTAAGGTATACACACTGTTTTTTTAGACATAATGCTTGCACACATAATAGAGTGCAGTGTAGTGTAAAAATAATGTTTATATGCACTGGGAAACCAAAACATTCATTTGACTTGCCTTACAGTGGTAGTCTGGAACCAAACCTGCAGTATCTCTGGGGTATGCCTGTACATGAACTAATTTATTTAATCACCTTACAAAAACCTTTTGAAGTAGGATCCAAATTGGCCTTAAATCTTTAGACTTTTTCTGTTACAATTCACTTTAAAAATACTTTCTAGTACTTACTGTATGCCTGGCTCTGGAAATGGACATTCTGGTGGAAAAAACGAATAGCGAATGAGAAAACAAATAGATACACAGAACTGATTTCAGGCAGTGATTGATGTTTAAAAAAAATAATAAAACATCATAGGGGAATAAAAAGTAACTGGGAGCAGGGGTGTTGCTTTAGACAGAGGAGTCAGAAGAAGAGGTGGTAACATTTAAGCAGATGCCCCCACACCTGAGCCACACAGTTAGTTATGTGAGAGAGCAGTGTTCAGGCAGACGTTCCAGCAAGTCCGGAAGTAGCCGGTGGAAGTGAGTTTGCTGCTTTCAAGGGACAGCAGAGACACTGATCTGTCTGGAGCAAACTGAGCCAGAGAAAAAGTGGTGGTACATAAGGGATGGAGAAGGAGCCGGAGCAGATCTTCCAAGCCATGATAAGGCCTCTGGATTTTGTTCTAATTGCGGAAGAAGCCATGGGAGGGTTTATACAGACAGGGAAGTGTCCTTTAGAAAGATCACTGTGGTTGCTGTTTGAAAAATAGACTGTAGGGGCCTTGGGGAGAAACAGTCCGGCTAGCTCCATGTTCCAGAGGCCCCAGCAAGAGATCGTTTCGGGTTTTTAAAAAGGTCCCCAAGAGATTCTACTGTGCGTCCAGGGTTGAGAAACTGGTTTACATTTAAGAGAAAGGAATTTGATTGAAAGAATATCACTCCTTCTCCAAGAAAAAAAAACATATTAAGAGCATTTTAGGATACATCCTTCCTTGTCACTGAAATAACTCTTTTAATAAATCCTACTTGAATTGATTTAAAACCAGTGAGTATGTGGTCTTGAGTGGGTTTTTTATGGGGTGTTTTTTTTGTGTGTGTGTGTCTATTTTCTCTCTCCTTTCCTCTCTTCCCCCTGCTCCCTCCATTTCCCTAATCTCTCTGTTCTTCCCACAAAAGGAACTTGGAAAATCGTGGGAGGAAGTTCAATTGGAAGATGATCGGGAGCTGCTAGACCATCAGGAAGAGTAAGACTTGTTATAGCTGCTAATTAATTGCTGTGTTTTAAGAGTAGGAAAACATTTCTTTAGTTTGGTTTAAAGTTATTATTCTGAAGAGAATAGAAATGAAGAAAATTTTCTCTCTGAGTCATGCATCCGTCCATATAATAATGCAAAAACTTGAATTCAAAGTAACTTTGACATAAAAATCACTAAAGCAACTGTTATTCCAGCCAAATAGTGTTTTGCCATTAAAATTGTTAATTGAGGGGTGCCTGGGTGGCTCCGTCGGTTGAGCATCTGACTCTTGGTCTTGGCTCAGGTCTTGATCTCAGGGTTATGAGATCGAGCCCTGCATCAGGTGCTGTGCTCAGTGTGGAGTCGGCTTGTCCCTCTCCCTCTGCTCCTCCTCCTCTGTCTCTCTCAAATAAATAAAATCTTTAAAAGTAAATAAATAATAAAAAAACTTTAGGGGCGCCTGAGTGGCTTAGTTGGTTAAGCATCTGCCTTCGGCTCAGGTCATGATCCTGGGGTCCTAGGATGGGAGCACTGTGTCTCCCTGCTCAGCAGGGAGTCTGCTTCTCCCTCTCCCTTGGCCTTCCCCCCTCCCCCGCTTGTGCTGTCACTCTCTCTCTCTAATAAATAAATAAAATCTTTAAAAATAAATATGTAAATAAATTAATAAAAATAAAATTTTTAAAGTTTTTTAAAAACTGTTAATTGAACACACAAGTAAAATATAATGCAAAGAAAAATACATTCCATTGGTGTTTTGCTCACTTGGTTGGTGCCCAGACCTTGAAGTTACACAACCTTTGAACTCTCCATGCTGCTTATCATTGGAGTAGAGAATGTAACAGAATTAAAGTTAGCCTTGTTCCATGTTCATCCCATTGACCTAGGTAAAACATTCACAGCTTCTTTCCTTAGAATTACAAGCTTGGGAAGTGTTCTTTTCAACCTAAAATGATTACCTGTTATTCATCCGCTTTTCCTTCAAAGCTGCTTGGCCTTTTTTCTCTCCTGGGATTTCAGTTTTCCAGGCTTAGGAATGACAAGAAGTTGGCAGTGTCTTAAAAATAAATGCAGGACTGGTAACCTGGGTCCTGTATGGTTTTTGACTTCTCTGTTTACTGCCAGATTTAACACTTGCCCCATTTAAAATGATCAGTATTTCTCACATGAAAGATACATGGTTTGCCTTTTTAAAACACACCATTTGTCATGCAGAGACACACTCCCAGCATCGCACCTCACAGCGTGTGTACTTAGTGGTTGTGACTAATGAGAAAGCATCTACTGATATGCCTCTTTTGCAAAGTAAACCTAGTTGTGTCAGAAAGACATTATACTGATTCTGTAGTAAAATAGCTGCTAAGAAGAGAAGCAAATAGAAGAAAATAGAGCAGCACCTGTTCGCTATTTATATTAATTTCATGGTGCTGCTTTGAATTTCAAAAGCTGTATCAAAAAGTCATAATATGATGTGACAATCTTTACAAAGATGTCAGAGTTGAAAGAGATTGGCAGGGTTTCCCAGCGAGGAGGAAGTAATACCAAGTGACTGCGTAGTACACCCTCTTAATGAGGAGAATCTCTTTATTTGCTGTTTGCTTTTTTAACACAGTGACTGGTCTGATTGGGAAGAACGCCCTGACTCTGCTGTCTGCCTATTTTGTGAAAAGCAAGCAGAAACAGTTGAGAAATTATGTGTCCACATGGAGGTGAGATATTTTAATTCATTTGAATTTTGTTTTGTTCTGACAAGGGGAAGCTGATCATGATTGCAATCTTAAAAGCTTATAAATTTAATTTGTCATTATCCTATTCCTAAAAGTGCTGTAAGCAGGGCACTTGGGTGGCTCAGTTGGTTAAGTATCCAACTCTTGGTTTCAGCTCATGTCATGAACTCAGAGTTGTGAGATCGAGCCCCACGTTGGGCTCCACACTCAGCGTGGAGTCTGCTTGAAAGATTCTCTCCCTCTTCCCCTCCTCCTGTGCTCACTCATGCCCTCTCTCTCTCTCAAATAAATAATTTTTTTATTAAAAAGAACGTGCTTTAGGCAAAAAAAGAAGAGACAGGCAGATCCATCAAGGAGAACCAGAACTCAGGGCAATTTAGTACAATGCACAGGATCTGTGCAAACTGTTAGGGTGGGATTTCACAGACCACTGATGCCATCCTACCTCTGAGGTGTTTATGAGATAGTTCTAGTTTAGAATGTGGGGCCTGTAACCATGATTAACAGTACTCAAGACATGGACAGGTTCTGAGTCTTTTTTCACTGCTTGCTGTGCTAGTGAATAAGGAAAGCGGGAAGGGGAAAGTTCCCTTCACCAAGCCTTGAGGGAAATGGGGCAGGGGGACATGGGGGATGTAGAGGCAGAGAGGGTACAGGGTGTGCTTGTGCAGCTCCTACCGTTTGGATTTGGAGGGAAGAAATTTGAGGGTATTTCCAGTTCATGTGTTCCCTTCTGGATGCCATTTTTATGTTATAATGAAGCTTGAAGCTAGTAGTTCTAAACCTTTTTTTCACCCCAGTATATCTGAGAGATGACACACTCCCAACATCTCTGATCCTCGGCTGGACGGTGGGGGTGAGGAGGGGAACATCTAATGAGTCATGACAGTATCGCAGCTTAGGGGTAGAGGGGTGATTATAATAAAAAAAATATTACTGGATGATTCTGATGTGCTCTCCCTACCCTCCCCCAGCCATCTCTGCCAACAGTGACACAGACTATCCTGTTTCACCCACCTTCTCCCCACTCGCATTCAGAAACACTGTTCTTAGTTCCATTAAAAAAAGAAACTAGGGGCACCTGGGTGGCTCAGTCGTTAAGCGTCTGCCTTCGACTCACGTCATGACCCCAGGATCCTGGGATTGAGCCCCACATCGGACTCCCTGCTCGGAGGGAAGCCTGCTTCTCCCTCTCCCGCTCCCCCTGCTTGTGCTCCCTCTCTCGCTGTGTCTCTCACTGTCAAATAAATAAAGTCTTTTAAAAAAATAAATAATAAATAATTTTTTAAAAAAAGGAAACTAGAAGGTGTGTGAAAGGCCATGAGCATTTACCCTTATGAAAGCAGAGAGTCGTTTTGTCTGAAACAGGTTGCTAATAGTTTATGTGTATAGTTTCCAGTGTTTAACTTTAATTCATAATATCTTAATATCTTTGAATTGAAAGGAGTCTTAATACCCCAACCCTGTGTAGGAATTTCCTTTGCAACATCCTTGACCTGTGTCCTCAGCCTCTGCTCAGTCACTTTCAGTCATAAAGTACCATGGAATTCCTAATTATCGTGCCTCTGATATTACACTGAATGCCTTCATAGGGAGTTAGATGGTCTTCATTCCCTGTAAGCTTTTAAGTTCAAACATTTACCCAGATGGACGATTACACGAGTGAAACAGAATAAGGCTGCATTGTAAAAATCAAAAGAAATGTAATTTACGGGAAGATGTCAGTGAAGAGAAATTTGCATTAAACAGCGTATTTAACGGCATAAAATGAAAAGCAGATTTGTAAAATTACCTATCTGCTTGTGTAGCAAAGGACCTATATCCATAATGATCTCAGGCACACAATATAGTAAGTAGGGCCACATCTTACTAGAGACTGAGGACACTTTTGTCAGACTGCAGAATGCATACATAGTAAATTGTGAAAACTGTAGATACAAACTGTGAATAATTAAGATGTTTGAACTGATTGGCATGACTTGTTTGGACTGTGCTTTAAAAAGTAGTTGGATGTGGTGGGGGGAAGCAGTTATATTTCGAATACTTCAAAAGCAGAACATGATGAACAGACTGAGTTTCAACAGTGTTCAAACTCCTATGAATAAGCCGTCTGTTTATAACTTCAGCCTAAAAGATTAAACAATTTATATGCTCACAGATATTCATTCCTTTTTTTAGGATGCTCACGAGTTTGATCTCCTTAAAATAAAGTCAGAACTTGGTGAGTTTGATTCAGAAGTTGTTTTCCATGATGCTGCGTTTTTATACACCATCCTGTAAATGATGCCTGTGTTCAGTAGTCGTGATGAGAGAGTGCACAGCCAAAATGTGTCTCTCCACAGATGGTCTCACGGGATTGCCTGAAGCAATGATTCACAACCATTTTGAACTGTAATATTCAAATATGGTTTTTATTTCATATGGTCTTTCTTCTTTCCTACATATATGAATGCTTCAAATAAAATACAAGTTAAGGGTTAGTATCTATTATAAATAAAGTGGAGGGAGCTAACGGAAAGACCATGGATTTTGAAGTCAGACTAGAGTTCATATTCCAGCTCCAGCACTTACTGGCTGTGTGACATAAGGCCTCGGGTCAACAGAATGTGAAGGGAGTAGATAATGTATATAAAATACCTACTGGGGGGCGCCTGGGTGGCTCAGTTGGTTAAGCGACTGCCTTCGGCTCGGGTCATGATCCTGGAGTCCCAGGATCGAGTCCCACATCGGGCTCCCTGCTCAGCGGGGCGTCTGCTTCTCCCTCTGCCCTCTTCCCTCTCGTGCTCTCTCTCTCTCATTCTGTCTCAAATAAATAAATAAAATCTTTAAAAATAATAATAATAATAAAAAAATAAAATACCTACTGTACTGCTTGGCAATGTAGCTAGATTATTTATCACAGATGGACCCAATTGCATCATTCTCAGTATCAGTATGATGGAAAGATTAGGGTCATGAAGATGTAAATTACTGACTTGCTAATGGATCAAAGACAGTAGAAAGCTCACTTCCCACACCTCAGCTTACTACTTTCCTAGACTCTGGAATGTGTTGCTTTACTTTGCTATTCTTACAGACATGTATATATGTCAAATGTTGGCTCTACCACCCACTAGCTGTGCAACCTTGGACAGTTTCCTAATAGATAATGTGGGTATGATAATACTACCTATGTGGTAGAGTTTTGCAAGAATTAAACATATTAATGCATGGAAACTGATTAGAACAGTGCCTAGCACATAAGCCCTATATAAGTATTGGCTGTTATTGTTTGGTATCTATTATTCTTTTTTTTTTTTTAAAGATTTTATTTATTTATTCATAAGAGACAGAGAGAGAGAGAGAGACAGGCTCCCCGCTGAGCGAGGAGCCCGATGCGGGACTCGATCCCAGAACCCTGGGATCATGACCTGAGCCGAAGGCAGACACTTAACCATCTGAGTCACCCAGGCACCCCTTGTATCTATTATTCTTTATAATTGTACTGCCTCTTCAGGTTGGTTAATAAAGAGAAGTGGCTCGGGCACTTGGGTGGTTCAGCATTTGACTTCGGTTGACATCGGTTAAGCATTTGACTTCGGCTCAGGTCATGATCTCAGGGTCCTGGGATCGAGCCCCACCTCGGGCTCCATGCTCAGTGAAGACTCTGCTTGTCCGTGTGCCCCTCCCCCTGCTCGTACTCACTCTCTCTCCCTCTTTCAAAGAAAAATAAAATCTTTTTTTAAAAAAGGAGACATGGCCCTTTTAAAAAATTATAATAGTACAAAAATGGGTCTGACCAGTTGTCTAATGATTGTATAAACTATCATTTTTTAGGATTAAATTTCTACCAACAAGTGAAACTGGTCAATTTCATTCGGAGGCAAATTCACCAATGTAGATGTTATGGCTGCCATGTGAAATTCAAATCCAAAGCAGAGTTAAGGACTCATATGGAAGAAGCTAAACATACATCACTGCTTCCTGAAAGAAAGACATGGGATCAACCAGAGTGAGTACTACTCAACCAAACATATACTTCTTAGCTCCATATCCCTTACTTGTTTTTATTCATTTCTCCAAACCTAAATAAAAGAGAAACATACATGTATAGAAAAAAGTAAAAATCTTCAAAAACCTTATTTTTAAAGGAATCCCGTTTTTGTAAGTGTAACCAGATTTTGTGGTATGGAGATAAAGATGTAGATATAGAATTATAGATTTTTCCATTATATTTTGTTAACAGAATATTGTAAGCATGTTTCTATATCTAATACATATCGATTGTATCATTTTTAATGGTTGTCAAATATCCCATTCAATAGATATACCGTAATTTGCTAGATATTGAGGTTGTTTCTTGCATTTTGCTCTTTTATTTTTTTTTTATTTTTTTTTTTTTAAGATTTTATTTATTTATTTGAGAGAGAGAGAATGAGAGAGAGCACATGAGAGGGGGAGGGCCAGAGGGAGAAGCAGACTCCCTGCCGAGCAGGGAGCCTGATGCGGGACTCGATCCAGGGACTCCAGGATCATGACCTGAGCCGAAGGCAGTTGCTTAACCAACTGAGCCACCCAGGCGCCCCATTTTGCTCTTTTAAATAGTAATACAATGAGTATCCATCCATATGCCTGCATTGTTGCACACTTACCCAATTTTTCTTTTAGATAAACTCCTAGAAATAAAATTACTCTGTCAAAGAGTACACAACTATTAGGGTTTTTGGTATATATTTTTCATCTCAGCACTTTATAAATGTTAAGCAGTTGGTCCACTGATCTGTACTATGGAGGTGGCATCAGACTTCTTTGCCAGTTCAGCCATCTGGGCTGGTTCTCATAGTCTGGACAACCTCAGCTGAGAGAACCTCTGAGAGGTTGTAGAGTTCTAGCTGCCTGGAGGTTCCTCTCTTCTTAGGAAATGTTAAATAAGCCTCCTCCCTCCCTCGCCCCCAACTCTTCCCCAACACTAGCCCCAAAGCTCTAGATTTTCCTCTAGAAAATCCCAGATTTCAGGGCACCTGGGTGGTTCAGTCAGTTAAGTGTCCAACTCTTGGTTTCGACTCAGGTCATGATCATAGTAGGGTCATGAGATCGAGCCCCACATCAGGTTCCACACTCAGCATGAAATCTACTTGAGATTCTCCCTCTACTCCTCCTCCTGCTCACACTCACTTGCTGTCTCTGTCTCCCTCTCTCTCTCTAAAATAAATAAATAAAATCTTTTAAAAAAAGAAAGAAAGAAAATCCCAGGTTTGTGAGAGGCAAAGTCGGTCCTGGATTGCCTGAGACCCTGTTCCTATAATTCTTAAATAAAGTGAAATCTTTAGAGATACTCCAGAACTAACTCCTAAGTGTGTCCAGAAAAGGAACCTGAATAATAGACTTAAAATTCTATAGATGTTTTAATTTTTGATCACCTAGAATGAAGGAACCAGTAGTGATTAAGTTGGGAAGAACACACACACATTCAAGGGAAACAATGTTTTCATCAGATATTTAAAGGATTCATGTATGAAAAAGTAGCCATATTTGAGTTTTGGTAATCTGTAGGGAAGAACTGGGGCCTTTGAGTAGAAATGAAGGGGATGTCATTTTTAGCTTCATCCATGGCACTCTATCTAACAGCTAGAGCTGTCCAGTACTGTAAGCTGCCTTTCGAGATAGTTTTTGTGGGACTGTCAAGCACAGGCTGAATGGGCAGCTAGCAAGGATACTGGTAAGACTGATACCAGCCAGTAAAGGTCAAAGTAAAAGTAATTCAGAAGTTGTCTCCCATACCACCTTTGCAAAATGCTGTCGAAATTGTTGGCAAGGAAACCTAGCAGACTTATAGTAATGTGTATGTTCAGCTGCCTAGAAACTTTACTGGATAATTTATAGTTTGGTTGTTCAGTATATCTGTGGTCGTTTTCAGGTATTATTTTCCAACCTACGAAAATGACACTCTACTGTGTACACTGTCTGACAGTGAAGGTGACCTGACAGCTCAGGAACAAAATGGAAATATTACCATCCTCAGTGAAGATACATCTAAACTGCATGCTTTGAAACAAAGCAGTATTTTGAACCAGTTGCTACTGCAAGAGGGCTTGAAAAACTAGAAGAAAATGCCACAGAAGCAACTTTTCATGTTTTTCTCTTATGAAACAAACTCAGAAAAATAGTTTAAATTTGAACATTAGCAAAGGATTAGTCCTTGGTGAAATAAAAGTTTTAAAAAGTACTTTGCAAAAAATAAAATGAGGACTTTTTGTATTTTTGGCTATAAGTTTTACTATGTAATCATTATAAATGATCTCATTTCATTAGACTCAATTATCTACAATAAGGAGGACATGCGGGGATTGGATTCTGGACCAAGAAAAAATTTTCTTTTGCTATAAAAGATCTAGTGGGACAAATGGCACACTTTTAATAAGGTTGTAGCTAATGTTAATTGGTGTTAATTTCCAGATTTTGATAATTGTACTGTGATTATGTAGGAGAACGTCCATGTCTTTAGATAATACACAGTGAAACTTACAGGTAAAGGAGCATTTTTGGTTGCAACTTACTCTCAAAAAACAAATGTGAATATGTAGACAGAAAAATGCTGAAGTGAATGTGATAGGTTGTTAACATTTGGGGAATCTAGGTGAAGGTTATATAGCAATTCTTTGTACTACGGCAACTTTTCTGTAAGTCTAAAATGCCTTTACAGTTGGTTTGTTTAAATCAGGTCCCATGGGGCACCTGGGTGGCTCAGTCGGTTGGGCGGCTACCTTCAGTTCAGGTCATGATCCCAGGATACTGGGATCGAGCCCGGGGTCAGGCTCCCTGCTCAGTGGGGAGTCTGCTTCTCCCTCTCCCTCTGCCCCACCCCCTCATGCTCACACACTCTCTCTCTCTCAAATCAATAAAATCTTTAAAAAAAAAAAAAAAAATCAGGTCCCAGGTGAGATTCATGCATTGCCTTTGGTTGGTATGGTTCTTAAGGATCTTAAAATCTATACAGTTCATGCTCCCTCTTAAAATGCCACTTTTTTGTTAAACTGAGCCCTTTGTCTCACTTTCTGAGTTTGGATGATCATATGCTCTTTGTGTCATTTAACATGTTCCTCTATCACCCCTTTTTCCTGCCAACTGATAGATTTAAGAAGTTCCAATAAATTTGTGTTCAAATTTGTTTGCACAAATAATTTATAAGAAATACTATTGCTGTTGCATCACATCAGGCACATAATATCCCTTGTACCAGTTTTAGAGATTTTAGAGCTGACAGTCCACTCAGGTATTGTCAGTCAATGCATCATTATAAAGTTCCCCATCAGTCTTTTATCTAACTCATTTGGTACTCACTGGTAATTGCTACCTATTATTTTTTCTAGTGACTTGCAAAATGATGGTTTTCTAATGCTATCGTTTACAGTGCATTCTTTATACAGCATGGGTGCTATGGAGTACTGGAGTTTGAAGTTCTAGTTTTCAACTGTTAATACCAGCCTATGTAGGCAGTGCCCAAAGACTAATCTTGAAGTCATGTGGCCTGTCAAGAGTCTCAAGAGTCATCCCCCACCGTGTGATCCAAAAGTGACTAGATTTATAAATTTTAGAGGCTCTGACCATGGCTTTAGATTTCCAAGCCTCCAACTTTGCAGACACCTACACAAGTCTTTTATTAAAAACAAAGCAGAGAGGCGCCTGGGTGGCTTAGTCAGTTAAGTGTCTACTCAGGTCATGATCTCAGGGTCCTGGGATCTTGCCCCGCATTGGGCTCTCTGCCCAGCAGTGAGTCTGCTGCTCCCTCTCACTCTCCCTCTGTGCTCTCTCTCCTTCTCAAATAAATAAATAAAATCTTAAAAAAAAAAAAGGAAAGGGGCTCCTGGGTAGCTCAGCTGGTTGAGTGTCCGACTCGGTTTTGACTCAGGTCATGATCTCAGGGTCGTGAGCTAGAGCCCCACTTCAGGCTCTGTGCTCAGTGGGGAGTCTGGGGTGTCTGCTTGGGACTCTCTCTCCCTCTACCCCCTCTCCCCCAAAATAAATAAATAAATCTTAAAAAAAAAAAAAAGGCAAAGAAATAGAAGCCCTTATTATAATGGAAAATGCCTAAGTTAAAGACACAATTGAGTTAAATTGTTTTAAACCCGAAGACCTAAAGAAGGCAGTTAGTCCTGTGCCTAGAACCTTGTGTGTCTAGGCAGATTTGTTCAGGAAATCAGGTAATGTGTAGAGTGTTTCTAGAATGTGCTTCAGTTTTAGAACAGGAGCAATGAAAGAATGAGAACAAAATTAAGAATAATTAAGCTTGTGAAGGAGAAAGTTTTTTTTGGAGAAAGTTTTTGGAGATAAAGTTGAGATCTTAGAGAACAGATCAGATGGATATAAAAGGAAAAATGAAATTGAAGGACAGATAAAAGGGAAAAGATGATGTACTTAGGTTTAATTCATATAAGAGGTTATTTTTAAAATGAGTAGATGTTTTGGAGGTTTGGGGTTTTTTTTTTTTAGCTCAGAAATAATAACTTGGTCCCAAAAAAATCAAACAAGAATAGAAGCAAAATCATAGCCGACTGTGCTGACTGACTCTCAGAGGGAGCAAGAATATAGACCACTACTGGCAAAGTACTCTCTTAGAGCTACACAGAGAATAGAGACTACTTGCCAAGAACTATTGGGAATTCCTCCTTAAAGTTTGGGACACTGATGCCAGGTGTACCCTGAAAGGTTGGACAGTTCAAAAGGGGAGGATCAGCCAGATGGAAGTACACTATTCAAGGGATTATTGAATGGGTTCCCAGATGTCACTAAAATTGTAAATAGGAATACAAGTGCCGTCTATACCCAGAGGGAACAGGCTGAGAAATTTTGAAATTTTAGACTGTAAATGAAGGCAACCAGAAAGATGAAACATAACAGAGAGCCAATCAGGACAGTGATAAATGGAATCCAAGCCTGGATTGGCTGTTAGCCTAATCACAAAATGCATGTTGATTATCTAATTCAGAAAGGTGAGAGTGGCCAAGGTTTTTTTTTGAACAATGGTTGCTTTTGGCCTAGCAGACCTAGTGATTTAGCTCTCAAAACAGAAGACCCCATTAGACAAAATCTAGAACAGAATGTCAGTAAGTACATGTGGCCAGAAAGAAGAGAAAGATAAAAAAAGGAAGAAAGAAAAAAAAAGGAGGCATCAGATTCTACAAATACTAGGCCTTTATTAGGGAAATTTAACTTATTAGGAGGTAAGTTAAACTGTGACAAATCCAGCTGTTCACCTTGAAAAGTATAGAGGGGAAGTCAAGCCCTAGGACATATCCAATATTGCTGACAAAGGCGGAGTGGAGGGAAATACTCCTGGAGGCCTGGACCAATCAAAAGCAAGGGAAGGTGGAGTGCTGAGCAGGGCTTCACAGAGGTATCTGTCCTCACCAGTGCAATTAATCTGGTAGTCCAGTTGCCCCCAGTATTCGTTCTCCCTCTCTTGAATAGGTTTAGTTGGGTATATGGCAGACTAGAATGAAGACTACACTTCCTAGCTTCTCTTACAGCTCAGGATACTTGTGTGTCTACATTGTGGTAAATGAGATGTAAACAGAAGAGTCAAGTGTGACAGCTTCTAAGAGTCTTCCTTGAGATACTAGATGCAGCACTCTCTGCTTTCCTTTCATCCCTTCCTGCTCCTGTTGCTGAAGATACCTGCATATGGGACAGGGAAGTCAAACCAAGCATGATAGGGCAACAGTGCCAAAGGAATCTGGATGAACCAGCCCTCAAACGGTGACCTAGATGTTTATGTGAGTGGAATAAACATCTACCTTTCCACTGTTACTTTGGGGGTTTTGTCATTCATAGCTGAACCTAGAGATTCAGCTGCAGAAATGTCCATAGCAGCTTTAGTTCAGGAATCTGCGAGGATGTTTTCTGGTTGAAAAAAAATGAGGCACTGGGGAGCCTGGGTGGCTTCGTCGTTAAGCGTCTGCCTTCGGCTCAGGTCATGATCCCAGGATCCTGGGATCGAGCCCCACATCGGGCTCCCTGCTCGGCGGGAAGCCTGCTTCTCCCTCTCCCGCTCCCCCTGCTTGTGTTCTCTCTCTCGCTATGTCTCTCTGTGTCAAATAAATAAAATCTTTTTAAAAAAAGAAAAAAACAAGGGAGTGAAAGAGAGGCTACCCTTACAAGACAGGCTTTACAGGCATGTCATTCCACAACAAAGACCAACAGCAGGAGCCAGTGTGGAAACCGTGTGGTTATTTAGAGCCTAGATCCCACAGATCAGGCAGGGGATATTGTAGACAGAAGGCTCAAAGGGGAAAGGAAAAGTAAAACGGTCTTTAAGATTCGAGATGGAAAAGAAAGACCTCTCAAAAGCAGACTCATGATTGGGCTTGCCATCACTGGAGATTTCTAAACTTCGCAAGAATGCAAATATCTTACAAGGGAGAAAGATTCACCTCTGCCCTCTAAGGTTCTTCAGCTGGTTCTGCAAAATAAACTGACAACAGAGAGATTAATATGAGAAAAAATATACGAAGTTATTTGATATTGGGGCACATGGGTGGCTCAGGCAAGCGGCTGCCTTCAGCTCGGGTCATGATCCTGGGGTCCTGGAATCAAGTCCCACATCAGGTTCCTTGCTCAGCAGGGAGTCTGCTTCTCTCCCTCTGCCTGCTGTTCCCCCTGCTTGTGCCCTCTCTCTCTCTGTGTCAAATAAACAAATCTTTTAAACAAAATTTTTAATTAAAAAATTATTTGATACTAAAAGTTTTACACAGGGGTGCCTGGGTGGCTCAGTGGGTTAAGTATCTGGGAGATTCCTCCCAATCGAGTTTGGTGTTAAGTGTTTTGATGATACTCTTTAAAAAGTGAGGTATACCAGGGGCACCTAGGTGGCACAGTCGGTTAAGCATCCAACTCTTAGTTTTCACTCAGGTCGTGATCTCAGGGTTATGAGATCAAGCCCCAAGTCAGGGTCCATGCTCAGCACAGAGTCTGCTTGAGATTCTCTCTCTCCCTCACCCCTCGACCCCCTCCCCCAGCTTGCACTCTCTCTCTCTCTCTCAAATAAATAAATAAATCTTTTTAAAAAGTCCTTAAAAACTGAGGTATATCAGAAACTTGATGTATAATTAAACTTTTAAGATTCTGAAAAAAGCCACACCAGTGGTTCTAGTGAGACCCTGTCCAGGTTGCTGAAAGAACTACAGTGCTATCCAAGGCATGAAGAACCCACCTGGTTCAGAATGAACAGCATCAGAAGGATGAGTTTTAGATTCGAATGTCTTTAACTCAAGCATATAAGAGAATCTAATCTTTCAACTTTTTCTCCCTGGGAAATTCACAGTGGTAGAGGGGTTATATTTAAATTGGAGGACATCAATATTTTACTGAAATTTTTTTATTGAAGTATCTTTACATTGTCATATAATGTCTTTTCAGAGCCTCTGATAGACTGTCCAAACAATATGGTTAGACATAATTAGGACTGCAAAGTGAACTGGGGAACTTCCAGCTGGGGTTCAGCTTGGCCTTGGAATTAGTTCAGTCACTGAATTGCCTTCTGAGGGCAATAGCTATGCTCATCAGCCATTCGATGGGAAAAGTAGGGGGATGTGCTTGTGGTGGGAGCAGTACTTTCAGGATAGATTGCTGGTCTCCTGCCAAGGAGATGGTCACACCCTTGTTGGCCCTGAATTTAATGGTTAAGCCCAATGAGCTAAGAGAACAAAAAACCCTGGGAGTGTTGGGCACCTAGCACCTTGTTTCCACAAGAAAAGGAATCCATTACAACAACTTTCTTGGTTTCTTTCTGCCCCCTGTCACTGCTGTGAGTGAGGAGAATGAATCTTCTGACTGGAACAGGAACTAGGCATCTATGACTCAGCCCCTTCCTCCTCCTTTTTCTCTTTCGGGTATGTCTGTCTGCCGAGAGAGCACATCCTGTTCTTCTCCTCCATTCTGCAAACTTTAGAGTGGCAGGCTCTGCCTGTGAAGTTGAAGGCCTGAAGTTACCCAACACTGTCTGTGACTGTGTGGATAAATCTGCCTAACTTTGCGGTTCATTGTTAGTGCCCACAACTATATGCCATGCTCTCCAAGCATCTTTATTAGTAGTAAAGGTGATATTTCATCTCTGTCTGCGTGACTCATGTATCACCTGGCCCCTCTGGAAGGTACACAGTCTCTCGGGATGGTCAGGATTACTAGGAAACCATGTCTTGGAGAGTTACTGGTAAATACTCTTGAGTCCTGGCAGTCAGGAGGCAAAATAGACTTAGTTCCAGTCCAGGACTAAGGCTGGGCGATAAAGCCAGAGAATTCTAGATTATCAATGGTGAGCTAGCTGCATGTATACTTTTTGAAAGATCTTTAGAACTAGGTTCTTAGGTTGAGTTCCACAAAAAACAGACCTTAAGAGAACAACTTGTGTGCAGATCATTTACTCGACAGGTAGACTCAGGAAATGTCAGTATAGGAAGTAAAAAATGAAACGGAAGGAGCACAAAAGTGTGCATTAATGAAGTTACTGCTATGGGAACTGGAGTTCAACCTTACTGAGGACTTCTGAGGGATTGCATAGGACACTTAGAGTGCCCTCCACCCACCACTACCACTACCAGCAAAAGAGCTGGGCTGTTGATCCACCAGCCCCCACTGGTCGAAGATCTAGGACTGCTCCCCTGGCATCAATTGCCTGGCCCTCCCAGCCTGCCTTGCACGTTGGTCTAGTGCCTTACACAAAGACTGAGGAAGCAGTAGTGCAAAAGGACACTAACAGTAACTGCTACGAATATAGATGTTGCATGACCACAAAAGAAACATTTTATGTAGAATTTAGCTGTCCTCACAACCTTTCCATATATCACTGACCTGACCCTCAAAACAATGTTATGAGCTCTCTAGTCAGGAATGTTTATCCTCATCAAGGGTAAAGACATGATGAGATAACTGAGGAACAGAGAGATGGGGACTTGTCCAAAAGATAAAAGCCCCACCAAGTATTTTGTATTGTAATAACAAAATAATATATGGGAATTTAAAATGAAACAAAGCTGAGTCCTGAACTTCTTTACTGAATGGAGGAATAGCAATTCTTTTTGAAAGGACGGACTCAAACTTGAATCAGAACCAAGAATGGATTCTTTAAAATGTTAAGTGCTTTGCTGACTTTATATGCAGAATTAACTCACCAGTCCACTTTCATCAAGGGCATCAAACTGCAGCTATTGTTTGCCCATTCTGCAAAAATAGCCATCCTACATCCTTGAAGTTTAATTCAACTCTTTCAATAAGCTTTAGATGATGGATAAGCTAGAGGATTAAACCAGGAGCTGCAGTTGAACTCTTATGCCTCATAATTGATACTTTGAAAAGCTAAAACATGTTCACTTCCTGATGATAGCAATTTGCAAGATTGAATGACATTGCAAGCATATTAATTCAAACTGAAAACATTCAGCTAAGTTAATATTAATTTCACAGTGTTCTGAGATTCAAGTGAAGCTGAGTTCTGTTGGGCTTATAAAATTAGGCTACAGAAAACAGGCTTTTTTTGAAGATAATTTCAGTCAGTTGACTTGGATACAGGGTGAGCAGTGAATCAGTCTAATGAAATAGATTTTCATTTTGGTGTTTTCATCATTTGGAAAACATTAAAAAAGCAAAAGAATATGCTGTGGTAAATTATAAAAACTAAAAAAAAAAAAAAAAAATTGAAGGAGGAAGAGAAAGTGAAGGACACCAAAACCCCAAAATTCTTAATCTCTTACTCTCACAAAAGGCAACCCACTCCAACACCTCCATCATTGCCTACAAAGATAATGTCCAAACCCTGGCACTCGAGACCTCTCAGAATCTGGTCACAACTACCTCCTCCATCATCCAATCCATCATTAAGTCCAGTCAGTTCTATCCCCCAAATGCATCTCCTCAGGCTGTACCACCCCTGGACTAAACCACTACAACATTCTACTAGTAAGACTCCCTCCTTCCATGATGGCCTCTTCAGTCTGTCCTCATACAGCTAGAGTGATCTTTAACAATCCTTCCATGGTATAATGAATTTTGGGGTTACTTACCCAGCACTCACTTCCCTTTTCTTTCTTTCCTAAATGTTTCCAAATTATCTTGGGAGGACCACTCCACCCTCACTAAGTAGCAACATGCCATTTGGGATTGACCCCAGCCCTAGTGACAGGAGGCAGGGAGTCCTGCCTGGAGTTTGAGCTTCACTGCCAAGATTGGGTGATGTAGAGAGGTGACTGGCCCAGGCTGTTCCAGTCAGAGTGAAGGTGAGGGATTCTGTTCATTGGCTTATAGAAGCTGGACTCTCCCTCTCCTTGTGAAAAAAAGAAACAGGTACCATGGTTGATGCCAAAACCATCTTGTCATCTTGAGAGGACTCTCAGAGAAGAGGAAAGGCAAGATGAAATGAAACCTCACCTCAAGACTTTGCAGTTACTCAGGCCAATAAATTCCCTTTATTGCCTGAACCCTTTAAGTGGGGTTTTCTATTACATACGTGAGAGTGTCTGAGCTTATATACATGGCTTCCCGTTGAACATGGAATCAAGTGTAAACTTCTTACATGACCCCCAAAGCCCTCCTGATTTGGACCTAGCCACATCTCCAACCTCGTCCCTTGCCACTCTCCTGCATGCCCACTACTCTTCAGGCCTCCTTGAACGGACAACACTTCTTCCCACCTCAGTGTTTTCGCACATGTTCTCTTTGTCTGGATATTCTTGTGCGGACTCTTTATATCACCGTCTTCTTATCATCCAGGCCTCAATGTCACCATCACAGGCTGGTCCATTCCAGTTTCGAGTCCTACACTATCTTGGTTGCTGCCACTGTGGTTTCAATTTCAGCAACCCCATGAGAAAAGAACTGGGAGAAGGCCAGGCTGTGAGTTGGAAATATTCTCGGTGCCACAAGTCCAATATGCATCTGGTCCCTCCCCACTCTCACTTCTGAGGAAAAAAATGAATGTGTGGGGACATCACATTTTTCTGGGGTTAGGATGGAGAATTTTATTCCCAAGAATGCCGAGAGGCTGCTCGCCATGAGACAAAAGCTGGACTGGGCTTTGCTGCCGGCTCTGGGATCTAGAAGGCCTTGTGCTGGAAGCTGGTGCAACAGTGCCCGAGGAGAAGGTGGGAGTTCCAGAGGGCAGCAAGTCAGGAGAAGACTGGCAAGAGACTGCAGGGCTGAGAGAGCAAGCAGTCTCTTCAGCACTGAAGGGAGGGTGAAGAGGACTTTAATGATATTTTTATGGACAGCAACACATGGTGTGCTGGTGTCTTCCCTAAAAACATTCCTGGGGAAACAGAAAATCGGGTTCCCAGGGAGAAAGGGGAAATGGAGAGTTACTGTGTGATGGTTACAGAGTTTCTGTTTAAATAATGACAGAGTTCCAGAAATAGATAGTGGTGATAGTTGTACAACATTGTGAATTTTTTTTGAGAGAGAAAGTGGCGGTGGGGGGGGGGAGGGCAGGGGAGGGGCAGAGGGAGAGGGAGAATCCTAAGCAGGCTCCACACCCAGTGCAGAGCCCCACGTGGGGCCACCATCCCGAGATCATGACTGAGCCGAAATCAAGAGTCAGATGCTTAACAGACTGAGCCACCCAGGCACCCCCAACATTGTGAAGTTATTTATTTATTTGTTTATTTATTTTAGAGAGAGCACGAGCACAAGCAGGGGGAGAGGGAGAGGGAGAAGCAGGCTCCCCGCTGAGCAGGGAGCCCAATGTGGGGCTCCATCCCAGGACCCAGGATCATGACCTGAGCTGACGGCAGATGCTTAACCAACTGAGCCAGCCAGGTGCCCAACACTGTGAATTTAATTAACAACACTGAATTTTTTATTTTAAAATGTTTGAAATGATCAATTTTATGTTATTTTACCACAATAAGAAAAAGATTAAAAATAAGCTGAAAATGAGCAAAGGACCTGAACATTTTTCCAAAGAAGGTCAATAGGCACATGAAAGATGCTCAACATCACCAGTTATTAGGGAAATGCAAATTAAAACCACAGTGAGATATCACCTCATAATGCTGACATATCACCTCTTAGAATGGCCATCATCAAAAAGAGCTAATAAATGTTGGTATGGATGTGGAGAAAAGGGAAGCCTTGTGAACTGTTGGGATTGTAAATTGGTACAACTGCTATGGAAAACAGTAAAAAGAGAGGGGCACCTGGCTGACTCAGTCAGTGGAACATGCAGCTCTTGATCTCAGGGTTGTAAGTTCAAGCCCTATGTTGGGTATAGAGATAACTTAAAAATAAAATCTTTAAGCAGTGCCTGGGTGGCTCAGTCAGTTAGGCATCCAACTCTTGATTTCGGCTCAGGTCATCATCTTGAGGTCATGGGATCGAGCCCTGTGTTGGGCTCCACGCTCAGTGGGGAGTGTGCTTGAGATTCTCTCTCTCCCTCTGCCCCTCCCCCTGCTCACGCTCTCTCTCTTTCTCTCTCAAAGAGATATTTATTTCTCAAAGAAATAAATAAATCTAAAATAAAATAAAATCTTTAAAAAATAGAAAGAGACCTACCATATGATCCAGCAATTCCACTTCTGGAAATACATCCAAAGGAAATGAAAACACTAACTTGAAGATATATCTGCACTCTCCATGTTCATAGCAGCATTATTTACAATACCCAAGACATGGAAACAACCTAAGTGTCCATCAATGGATGAATGAATAAAGAAGTCTGGGTATATATAAATACATACATACAATGGAATATCATTAAGCCATAAATGCACTAGAGGAAAATTTACTATTTGCAACAACATGGATGGACCTTGATGGCATTATGCTAAGTGGAATAAGTCAGACAGAGAAAAGCAAACACTGTATGATCTCATTTACAGGTGGAATCTAAAACAAACTCATTAAGAGATTAGACTTGTGGTTATGAGAGGTACAGTGTTAAATTGGAGGCAGGTGGTCAAAAGGTACAAACTTGCAGTTATAAAATAAGTAAGTACTAGAGATGTAATGTACAACATGACGACTATAGTTAGCATTGCTGTTTGATATATAGGAAGTTCAAAGAGTAAATCCTAAGAGTTCTCGTCATAAGGAGAATTTTCTTTTTTCTTTTCTTTTAATATATTTATATGAAATGATGGATGCTAGTTGAACTTACTGTGGGAATCATTTCACAATATATATAAATCAAACCATCATGCTGTATGCCTTAAACTAATACAGTGATGTATGTCAACTGTTTCTCAATAAACTGAGAAAAACATTTAAAAAATAAACTGGCTGTATAACGGAGGAACTAGAGTAGGCCAAGCAGACCAAGAAAGAGGTTGGAACATCCATCTGATCAGGAGCTGATGAGAACTTCAACTAGGACAATGAAAATCAGGAAAAATTTGTAAGTAAAATGATCAGGACCAAATGCCTATTATTTCGGACCTGCTGAATTTAAGGCATGTGGTGACACTCCATCTCCTTCTTGCACACACTCCCCACAAGGGGGTCACTGCTGGGGTCCCGCTCATTTTCCCTCAGCAGTCCCCTGCCAATTATGACATCACAAATTCAGACCCAGGGGGTCAAATCTACTGTTTTCAAAAGAAGTCAGAAATCTGTGTTTTTATGTGAAATTTCCTGATTTATAATTCCCGTCTCAGGGCTAGTTCCTGTTTATGACTCTTGATATGGATGGCATGATAAAATAGGACAACAAATTCATATTGCACTGACTATAGACCAGATATGAACTTGGAATATTTTAAAATTTTTATTTGTGTGTATTTATGGTATACATAATACACTAGAACAATGGTATCTATGTATTAAATCATAAAGAGTAATTTATAAAGAATGTGTATAGGGCCACCTGGGTGGCTCAGTTGGTTAAACATCTGCCTTTGGCTCAGGTCATGATCCCGGGGTCCTGGGATCAAGCCCCGAATCTGGCTCCCTGCTCAGCAGGGAGCCTGCTTCTCTCACTCCTCCCTGCTCGCTTGTGCTTGCTGTTGATCTCTGTCACTCTCTTTCTCTCAAATAAATAAATAAAATCATTTTTAAAAGAATGTATATAATTTGGAAAAAGAATGAGAATATCCTGAGAAAACATCTTTTAATACATCTTTAAATTTTTTTTTTTTTAAGATGTTATTTATTTATTTGAGAGAGAGAGAGAATGAGAGACAGAGAGCATGAGAGGAGGAGGGTCAGAGGGAGAAGCAGACTCCCTGCCGAGCAGGGAGCCCGATGCGGGACTCGATCCCGGGACTCCAGGATCATGACCTGAGCCGAAGGCAGTCGCTTAACCAACTGAGCCACCCAGGTGCCCCATCTTTTAATACATCTTAAGATAAAGGTATAGAATCAAAAAAGCTCAGAGAACCTCTGATGGAGACTATTCCTCAACAGTATGTCATTAAGCCACAGTTCTCAAGCTTGGATGGACTGAAAAATCTGGTTTCAGATGCCTATCCCTAGATCTCACACACCATAGTTTCTGACGCACTAGGTCTAGGGTGGGAATAAGAAATCTGCCTTTCTAACAAGTGCCCTAAGTGATGTTGGGTCAAAAACCCATGAACCACACTTAAACACAGACATATTGTTAGGAGTAGAGGCTCTTGAGTCAAAAGGTCCTGGTTTCAAATCTTGGCTCTGACATTTATCAGCCATGGGACTTTGAGAAAGTTAACTTTAACTTCTGAAAGTCACAAATTTCTCATTTGTAATCTGGAAATAATACTAATGGCTACCTAATAAGTTTGTAAAACAATATTCAGCACATAGGGAAGGTAAAGTAAATATTAACTATTTTGTTATGATTGATTAATTCTTAAGCTCTGTGGAAGGGAGCTGAAGTGTTTTTAGGGCAAGGTGAGCTACCCTGTTTCTTTTGTCATCCATCTTATAAAGAGCCTTTGTCTGAGCAGGACTCCTCCCTTTTATCATGACCTCCTTTGTCTGTTCTCAAATTCTTTTCCTCTTCAAAGCTGCCCTTGATGTTCTTTTTAACTTGACTTCATCTACATAAAAACATTCACAGACATGGGTGCTCATCATACTAATCTCTCTACTATGAATATGTTTGAAATTTTCCTTAAAAAAAAAAGCCTTTTAAAGTCTTTGTTCACATGAACTGCTCTAAACTTTACCCTCCGTACGGAGAGCTCTAATACCACCTGAAATTTACACCTGGGCAGTGAAATTTAGGCACCATCTCTTGAACTCTCCTCATACATACAAGGTACATACAAGGTCTGAGACTTACTCATGACCCTCGCAGGGCATTCTCTGTGAAGAACATCAACCGTCCTAGCACATATAACGTCCGTCTGTCAGGGCTGTCAGAGTCTGCAGGCAGACTGCCATCTTATTGCTGGGATGATCCAGTTGGCTAGCGCTGTCCTGGGTTCTGGGGCCCCATCCCCAACTCCAACCAAGGCACCCCAGAGATAAAAGCAGATGATCCTGGAACAAAGTAAAAATAATTTAGCTAGATAAACATTCATTATTACTATTAGAAAATAAATTCAAAGCACATGCCCTAATTTCCATAACTCAGTGTCAACATCTTTGTAAAAAGGTACTAGATGGGCAAGGGTAACTTAAAAGTTACCAAAAAAGTTAAAAAAAAAAAAAAAATACCAGCAAGCGATTTTCTAGTCTCAAATGTTTGAAAACCTCATTCTCCAAAATATAAAAATTCCAAGTGAAACATCGCCAAAGCTAATACTATTAGGGTTTAGGCTATGCTGCCATAACAAAAAAACTCAAGGATACACTGGTTTACCTCAGGGTCTATTTGTCTCTCTTATCACAGTCTTGAGGTGCTCCAGGGTGGTAGGGCTACATGGCCATCCCTGCACAGGGCTTCTAACCCAGTCAGGAGGAGGAAGGGGAAGAGCCACAGAGTACATGAGTGTTTCTTTCTGGGTGCACATCTGAGAAGGGCAAAAATCCCTTCCACTGACTCTCCACACACTGTCCACTCCACTGGACAGAACTGATACATATAAGCCACACTTAACTGCAAGGTCTACTGGGAAATGCAGTCACCAGCTGGGTGGCCATATGGCCAACCTAGACTCCAAGTCCTAGTATTAAAGAAAGGGAGAATAGAGGCTGGTGAACAACTAGCTGGTTCCTTCTAGATCTTCCTCACTTCTTGTACAGTGGAAGTGCAGAAACTTTTTAGGTTATACAAATCCTCAGTGGGAAGGCTGTTCCGGATGATTGTAAAGTATGTAGTATTTGGAGTCTATCTGGGTACAAAACCTGGTTCTCTCACTAGCTGTGTACCCATAGGCAAGTTATATAACATCTATGTGCCTCCATTTTATTATGTGTATTTGGGAAATAATAACAGTACCTATCTCACAGGGTACCATAAGAAATAAATGGGAATATATTTTTAAAGCATCTAACATAGTTTCCACAATGCAACCCCTATCAAAATCCTAATGGTATTTTTTTGGCAGAAATAGAAAATAAGTCTTTCCTAAAATTCAGATGGAATTTCAAGGCATCCAAATAGCCAAAACAATCTTGGAAAAGAAGAACAAAGTTGGAGATCTCACATTTCTCATTCTCAAAACATATCACAAAGCTACAGTAATCAAAGCAGCATGGTACTGGAATAAAGACCAACTTCCAGACCAGCGGTATAGAATAGAAAGCTCAGAAATAACAGTTTCTAGCATGTGCGAGGCACTTAATAAGTGTGCCATCATCATCATCATCATCACCACCACTAAGCTGGATTATTTTTTCCTCCTCCACATATTACATACTGATGCCAGTCATTTAGTTCAAGTGCATTTATTTACTTCTTTATGGACTTTGAGTTTGGCAAGTGTTGACTGAGTACAATGAGAAACGTGATTTAGGCAGAGATTAATTGAGGAAGGGCAGGTTCCAACTTAGCCCAAGGACTCAATCTGACAGAATCTTTCCTACTTTCCAAGGTTTTAAATAGATATGAAGGGACTTGGGGAGCCTAGGTGGCTCAGTTGGTTAAGTGTCTGCCTTCAGCTCAGGTCATGATCCCAGGGTCCTGGGTTCGAGTCCTGCATCAGACTCCTTGCTCAGTGGGGAGACTGCTTCTCCCTCTTCCTGCCTCTCTCCCTACTTGTGCTCTCTCTCTCTCTAAAAATAAATAAATAAAATCTTTAAAAAAAAAAGAAGGGACTTATCTTTGTCTCATCATTGAGAGTTGTTGGACGGGCAGTGGTCCTCAAGTCTATAGGCAAAGGCACAGCTGACACAAGGCCAGTTCTGGGTCTCTATGGGCTGTTGTTAATAACTAGTACAGAGTCTTCAGAGCATGGGAGGCCAGATGGGGCTTGCGGTCTTGAATGCCACACTGCTGGGTAAATCTTCCATATCTCACTGCACAGACAATGAAACAGGTCAACAGTCTAAAGGGGGAACTTTATTGTGCAGGTGATTTCAGAGCAAACTTGAGGTCAAGGAATAAAATGTTGGGCAGGCAGCTCAGAGGTCAAGGCCTGAGCATGCATTTTTCCACACCAGCTTCTGGAGTTTCAGAGGGGCTTAATGAGAGCCAACAAAATTTCTGAGCATTTGTTGGCAACTATGCCAGAGAGCTAGGTTGACATTCTCTCAGAGCAACATCACTTGATGTTCCAGGTGGAAGCTGTTTGTGTCTTTTCTCCTCTTAAATAATAACTACAATTCAAATATAATAAATGGTGATGACCAATTTGTTTTCCATTTCATATTGTAAAAGCGTTCGTTCCCGGTTTACCACACTCACACCACTGCAAAAGTCTACTGCTGATTTTTATTTAAAGGTCCATGTCTGGAAAATAGTCTGCTTTCCGTCTTCCTTTTTACCAGGAGATAATTATAACTTCATCGACCTGCAAAGCGGTATAACTCTTATAGACACAGTTAAGAAGGGTGTACCGGCCATTCCTCTCCAGGATATGTGCTCTTCCTGCCGTATCTAGTGGAAAGATTCTATTGGAGTCCCCTTCTCTTCTCCCTTAACCACACCCAGAGCAGCTGGGGATGCCTTCCAGACTTCCAAACTGTAACAGGGAGCTGTGAGGCCATGAGTGTCTGAATCCTTGGTCTGTGGACCTCAGGGCAACCTGAACTTTGCAGAGAATTAACACAATAGGGAGACTTTTCCATTTTCCCAGGAATTGGGCCATGATTTGGGCCATGATGAAAACCAGAACACTTGTGTGCCCCAACATGATCACCCTCCAGAGTCATGGAATGATCTATATTTAGGTAAACAGGCATTAAATATTGGTGTGCACAATTCCGGACTTCAGTGAATACCAGTCCTGGTTGTCTTCAAGAACAACATGACGGACCACGGGCTGGGTCTGCCTTGCAGTCTCAGCTATGGGTTTGAAACCTGGGGTCCCTGGACCCTCCCCCAGTGGATCCATAGCTAGAATTCAAAGAATCTCTGAACATGAATGGGGAAAAATGACATCTTGATTTTCACCAACCTTAAACCAAAACATAACATTTTGTTCCACTACGAATGTAGGCAATACATCATTGTAGAATTAGCAGTGCGCCCCGCGGTCCTGCGGATCTGTCTCTTGCTTCAACAGTGTTTGGACGGAACAGACCCAGGGACGCCCCTCCAACCAGCCAACGACCACCCTCCAACCTCTTTTCCATCGCAACCTTGGGAGCCATCTTCTTGGCCATCCACTGCCTCTGGGACCAGCCACCAGCCAATTTCAAGCTTACCTTACCACCAATCAACCATGGGCTCCCAGATGCGTCAGAATTATTCCACCGAGGTGGAGGCCGCCATCAACCGCCTGGTCAACATGCTTCTGCGGGCCTCCTACACCTACCTCTCTCTGGGCTTCTATTTCGACCGTGACAATGTGGCTCTGGAAGGTGTGGGCCACTTCTTCCACGAGGTGGCTGAGGAGAAGCGCGAGGGCGCCGAGTGTCTCTTGAAGATGCAAAACCAGCGTGGCGGCCGCGCCCTCTTCCAGGATGTCCAGAAGCCGTCCCAAGATGAGTGGGGGAAAACCCTGGACGCCATGGAAGCTGCCCTGGTTCTGGAGAAGAGCCTGAACCAGGCCCTTTTGGATCTGCATGCCCTGGGTTCTGCCCGCGCAGACCCCCATCTCTGTGACTTCCTAGAGAACCACTTCCTAGATGAGGAGGTGAAACTCATCAAGAAGATGGGCGACCACCCGACTAACCTCCCCAGGCTGGCCGGCCCCCAGGCTGGACTGGGCGAATATCTCTTGGAGAGGCTCACTCTCAAGCACGACTAGGAGCCTCTGGAGACCAGCAGCCTTTGAGGGGGCCCCTCTGACAGCCCCCTGCTGCCAGAGCTTGTGCCTCAGCCTCTCGCTGCAGCCACGAGGCAGCTTTTTAACCACCCTGGAGCCCTCTCCCAAGCCGTGGACCATGGAAACAATAAAGCTTTTTGCAGCAAAAAAAAAAAAAAAAGCAGTGCTTTTGATGATAAAAACCACAGATATATTCATGTCGCGTTCAGCAGTTGTAGACATCTCGAAATATCATCTATACTCATTAATACTTCAAAATTCAACAGTTACTGGGCTCACTACTGGATCTTGTTGAATGCAATGATAAGATGCACGTATATTACTGTATCTTAAATACTTTCTAGTGTTTCTAGTTAACCGTATTTAACATATTTGATTTCGTTTGTATTTAATTTTCTTTTTGAAAGGTATTACTCTGAAAAGGTGTCCATAGACTTTACTAGGTAGCAAAGGGCAGCCATGACACACACAAAAAGCTGGGGGTGGGGGTGGGGGAGGGAAGCCCTGATCTAAAAGATGTCACCATTACACTATTGATGGGACTTTTTCTCTCTAAGACTGGGTATAACTTTAGAATCCCACTCAACACAGTGCATCAGGTAGCCACCAGCAGTCAACTGAGATGATACCTATTTACCATCTCTGGTCAATAAGAAGGAATTGATACAATGAAAGGCATCTCCTGACCCCCACAAGGTTCAGGTTCACTTAGAGATTAAGACATAGCCCTGGATTACATCTGCCCTAGATATTTCTGCCCATAGGGAAGGTTTTAGCGGAGTGTTTGCAGCCAGTCCCTGGGCATCCTTGGAGCTCCTGAACAAGGCTACTACCAGAAATGATCAGTAGCTCAAGGATTTTTCTCATCATAACACCAGTGTTGTTCAGGAAGCCACCATGTGTCATCCATATGTCACCTCCAGAGCTGCTACCAGTATAGCAATGTGCATTAGTACAATACTAAAAGCTCCTGGGGCACCTGGTGGCTCAGTTGGTTAAGTGTCTGCCTTTGGCTTGGGTCATGATCCCAGGGTCCTAGGATTGAACCCTTTGTCGGGCTCCCTGCTCAGTGGGGAGTTTGCTTCTCCCTCTCCTTCTGCTCCTCCCTGCCCTGCTCATTCTCTCTCTTTCTCTCAAATAAATAAATAAATAAATAAATAAAATCTTAAAAAAAAAAGCTCCTTACCAGTTGGTAAATAGATACTGGCTCAAGCTCCCTGAATGCCCTTTTACCACGCCAGCCACTTCAGCCCTAGGGAGCCCTGGTCAGCACTGGAGGGAAACAGCCCTGTAACTGGCCAAGGCTCCAGCATGCCTGAGGCTGTCCTATATGTCCCCATCCTCCCTCTCCCTTTCACCATCAATGATGATATGAGTAGGCTCAGACACCAGTCCCTCTGGGATAAATATAGGGATATTCCCTCTAGAAATAGAGGGAAATACGCCTGGTGCATACCTGGCCACCCCAAGGCTGGAGTGTCCTGATGCCTACCGCCAGGAATCACTTTTACTTGGCCTCTTTGGGTCCACAGTGTACAATACTGGTTGAAATATTTTGACTATTCCATGATCACCTGCTCCCAAATCTCTGCCACTTTCACCAAGGAGATACCAGGGGTTTGTACTTACTGAAACGGTTGTGTGAGGGATCCCAGTATCACTTCTCCAATTTTCCTTGCTCACCACTGGATGAACTGGAATTCACAAAGAAAGGCAGTGTTGCACTGGAGGGGAGGTGGCTTCTAGGCACTTGGGCTGTGTCACATCAGCTGTCATTCATTGAACCGAACCCGTTCACTGGGGCTCAAGCACTGTGGTCCTTGCAGGGCTGAGGCCATGGCATCTTTGTTCCATCTGAGCGCACCTCTAAAACAACTGACCGTCACTAATATCTATATTTGGATCTCTGAGTGAAATTGGCTAAGTAGCAGTGCTCCACCCCAAAAAGGTGGGGGGATGGGGCTTTTTTCTAACTCACAGCACTCATACATATAGATGGCTTCATTATTGCTTTAAAGCTTGGTATGAAAATTTACAGAAAATTTTGGAAATCTGATCCAAGAATGTCCCACCCAAGCACTTCCTTCACAGTCTGGTATATTATTTCAGAGCCTAAATGGCGAAAAACGCCTCGTGGACATCATTCAACAACAAAGCGTGTGCTGATCTCTGTGGTGCGCTGCTGAGCGATTGCTGATGGCCCCGCACTCGCATGCCCGTTGGGGGCGGCTTTCCTTCTCCTCCCCTGGGCTGGGCGCTTGCAGTCAAAATAGCTGAGCGGATTTTTTTCTCTAGCACTTCCAAGCTGCATGCCTTGGGGAGCCACTCAGGCTTCCCAAGCCTCAGCTATTTATCTAAAACAAAGTTGGTGTGGGGTTTAAAGGAATGTAAAAGGCCCAGCCCGATGGCTAACATGTAATAAGAACGCAGTCATTTGTTATTTTTGTTGTTTTAATGCTCTTTGGTATTTCAGTGAGCCAAGGCGCTGCATGCAAGCAAAGTAATGGCGCATTTGGCAGGATATAGGGAAGGCTCAACCTTATTATTACATAATTGTTGCCGGAAATTCTCCATTAGAGAAGCATTCTTTGGATAATCACTTTTGAAAAACGCAAATACCTCTCTGGGTGCACTTCATTAAACTATTCGCACTAATTTACACTGCTAGGATATGTGTGGCCCAAAAATATAACATGTGAGTGTCTAGAGCTTTCCCTCCCCCGGGGATTGACAGTTAATGTGGAAGAAGAAAAAGAAGAAATACACTTAGAGAGAGAGAGAGAGAGAGAGAGATGGAGAGGTGGGGGAGGGCTCTGTTGCTGCGGAGCCCAGTGGTTCTCCGCCAGGTGGGCCCGAAGTCTGGGACCCACTTGGGGCTGTTTGGCCTGAGCATTGAGAGAGAGTGCTTTGGGTAAGCCCTAAAAAGAAAACCGAAGCAGCAATATTTAGGAAGAAAGCTGATGGGAGAAGGCAAAAAAGGGGACTCTCAAGAATTACTGCTGTGCTTGACATAATCCTTGTTTCAGGCAGGTTCTGCAGGAGCAAGCGCCAAGATGGAGCTTGGCTTGCCAAAGTCTTACTAGGGACCCACAGCTGGGGAGGGAAGCGGGAGGAAGCAGCTGGCGGGCCTGCCCAGCCGCAGCCAATCACGTGAGCAGCTCTGGACTGACACCGCCTCTTCCGGCCTGCGGGGGCAATGCCGTGCCTTCAGCCGCCTGCCCGGCTCGGCCTCCGTGGGCGGCGTGAAGCCGGGGCGCGGGAGGTTGTCTGCTGACTGGACTCCAGCTGCTGAAGCGGAGGTGAGTGACACGGCTCTGCGTCTGGCATCTTCTCCCAGCTCAGGAGCCTCATTTCCTAACCCATTGGCTGCGCAGTTCTTCTATGGCTCCGTGGGCCTCTCTTCCTGAGGGAAACTTGGAAGAGGGCAGTGAGCGGATGAACGACTCTTCATCGTCTTCCTACTTTACTGTCCGTTCTGATTTCCCCTTACCCTCAGCCACCACCTCTGCTGGCCTCAGTGGCCTACCTGGTGCTGCGACCGACCTACACTTTTATCCCCAAGAAGCCCAAGGTTCTGGTCACCATGCCCTTCTTAGGCCGGAGCAGCTACACATGCCCGATTACCATCACAGCCGGGCAAGGGAATGCCAAGAAGTGCCCAAGTGGGCTGCACCCATATTCCTGCCCGTCCCCCTTGTGTGACAACAGGCGATCACCCATGCCATGGGGGTAAGTTCTCTTCCTGCTGGTTCCTGGACACAGGGAGCTAAAGATGACTGGGTGACTCTTGCTATGTCTCCTGGCAAAAGTGTGGCTGCTTGGAGGGCCAGGTCTTCTAACCCTGCAGAGCCCAGAACTGAGGAATCACAGTCTCTGTGGCTGGGTCGTTGAGATGAGTGACGTGTGAGTCCACTCCTGCTTCTACTCTTATTTCTTGGTCCATCTGTTCTTTCTCTTGGAGACAGCGCATAAAGGTCTCCCATCCTATGAATATACTCTATTCTAGAGACTGGCACCCCATCCTTTCAGAGTCCTGCTTTTGACCTGGTATCTCCAGCAGGCAGTTTCAGCACGCTGTATCAGGCTGGCTGCTTCTGAGGAATGTGGCATGTGTTGCAATCCGATGATCATGGGCTGACTCCTGTTCTTCCTTTGCTGTGAAATGTTTCCCTGGTCTGACCCGATGTTATGTGGGATCTCGTACCAGTGGATGGAATACTCTCTAAGCCCTTGAGGGCTTACAGGTGGGAAAGGCAAATCTATACCCAGAATATGCATGTATTCCTTAACTGTGGCTTTTCCAGGATTGAAGGGGCCCAATGTGGTTAGTTTGTTGCCAGGTTAGCTAGTTAGTCTCTTTGGGGTATGGTGCCATATCAGAGTCTCAATTGTGGTCTCTGTTGCTGGACATTCAGCAATGCCAGTAGTTAGCCTTACACCTTTTCTCTTTACATTCAAAGGGAATGACCAGTAGTAAGATTGGTCTTGGTAAGTGAAAGCCCATGGTACTGGCCCAGGTATTTACCTCCATCTTTGCCACTGTGGCCAAATGCCGGCACTGGGATAGCTGATGACAGGGGCTGGCAGGCATCAACTGGCCTGGCTATTTTATCCACTTGATTGCTTATTGCCTTTTCTGTGATAGACACTGTCTGGTGGATGCCAACATATGATACATAGACCTTCATACTTTGTGCCCTGGTCCGTATCATATGTCTGACTACATGCTCTCTCCTAGACCTCTTTGTCCCCCATCTTCCGATATTTTTCCTTCCATGCCCCTGACCAAAGGCTGACCCTTTTGATACCACCTGTGAATCCATAAATATTCTAACCTTGAGCCATTTCTCTTACTACACAAAATGAATAACCAGGTGTACCTAGTTGTTGAAGAGACTTTTTCCCATGGCATATTCTTGCATCCTTTGTTTAAGATTAATTGCCTATATAATCGTGGGTTTGTTTCTGGGCTCTCTGTTATGTTACATTGATCTATGTGTCTGTTTTTGTGCCATCAAATCAAAACCATATGGTTTGGATTACTACAGCTTGGTAGTATAACTTGAAATCTGGAATTTTGATACCTCCAGGTTTTTTCTTTTTCAAGATTGCTTTGGCTATTCGAGGTCTTTTGTGGTTCCATACAAACTTTAAGATTGT